GCAAAAGAACTATCATTAGAGGTAAGGCCTGAAAATGTGAATGAATTCCTGCAATCTCATGATAAGTCTTGAATGGATGAGAAGTTGCTTCTGAAAGATGAGCAAAAAGAGTGGTTCCTTAAGATGGAATATATTCTTCATGAAAATGTTGTGAACATTGATGAAATGACAGCAAAGGATTTAGAATAGAACCTAAACTTAGCTGATAAGGCAACAGAAGACTTTGAGAGGACTGACTACAATTTTGAAAGTGGTTCTACTGTAGGTGATATCAAACATCACATACTACAGGGAAAGTTTTCATGAAAGGAAGAGTCAATTGATGTGGCTAACTTCATTGACGTTTTTCTTGAGAAATTGCCACCGCTACCCCAACCTTCAGCAACCATGACTCTGATCATTAAGCAGCAACACTGAGGCAACAACCTCCACCTGCAACCAAAATCATTACTCTTTAAGAGGGCTGAAATAATCATTAGCATTTTTAGCAATGAAGTATTTTGAATTAAGGTATGTACATTGTTAACACATAATGCTATTATACACTTATTGGGATACAGTATAGGGCAAAGATCACTTTTACATTCACTGGGAAACCCCAAAATTGGTGTGACTTGCTTTATTGTAATATGTATTTATTGCAGTCATCTAGAACCCAACAAACATTATTACCAAAGAATGTCTGTATATTTGTTTGCAAATGACTTTATTTGTAATAGATATTCTAGTCATATGCAAGAATAAAGAATAATATATACTTTTTGGTAACAGTCACTATTATAATTTTACTCAAAAAAATGTGTTTGCAATTTCATTGGCAAATATATTTATTAGAGCAAGCTCTTATCATTACTATTTTGAAAAAAACGTTTTGATGTAGACTGACATCCTACTAAGAAATGCTACTTATAATTCCAAAATACACTGGAAGTTAAGTTACATTTCCTTTTATGGTCTAACAATAATAATTTTATTAAAGCTTAGAGATTCTCAAAGTATACAGTTAAAAGTAATCACAGACAAAATAAAGCTATCTTTAATTAGTTAATTTGCTAAAAAAAAACAAACCCATTCTTGTCTAAGTTGTATTCAAGTTTATGTCTTGTGAATAATATATTTTAAATAATTCTTTTCCAAGACAGTGTATTCATTCTAGAAAAATAAGCTCATTTAGAAATGCCATTACTGTTTAGATTATCGATCTCAACCTGCTGTCTGGGCCAGCATGTTTAGTAAGATTATTTCAGGGAACTGAACAGTACATTTTAATTGGCAATGGGACAACAGACTACCCAGAGCTCAAATGGGAAGACCTAGTGGTTAGGTCTATATCACTCTAACAGTCTGTTGATGTGCAGCACAGATGGTGAGATATGTTGATAGATGAGATTGTCTCAGTAGCAGGGTTGCCTTAGTCTTGCCAAACATGTTAGTTGAATGACCTATTAAACATGGCTGAACCAAGGCAGATAGAAAGATTTATAAGTAACTACAGCTGTCAAATGTGGAACTTTCTAGCAAATCTTATAATATAGTCTCTTTTTCTTATAGCTTTGACTTTCAGTTCCTAAGACCATTCATCCAAGTTTGAGTCAGGGGAGAGAAGGGGCAATGGGAAAATATATGGAAACAATATCACTTTAGAATACTAAGTGGAGTTGTAGGGTGAACTAAATAAAAATTTTTAGGAGGTAGCCTATATAAAATGCAAATTAAATTAAATTTATCTAAGACCTATTTTTAAAAAATAAACCCAAGGTCTATATAGAACCAGAGTCTGCTATCAGATAATAACTTCTCCCCTGTTTCTACTCAGGAGACAGATTAGTAGAGAAAAGCACTGGATTATGAGTCATGGTGCTTGGGCCCTTGTGTGCCCTTGAACATGTCTTCAAACTTTGGGGTGTGTCGGTGTCATCATTTGTAAAATTAGAGTAAGTAACTTTTCTAAACTTTTTCTTACAACTACCTAATTTTGCTTTTCTGTTCCATAACAAGTATCAATATGTATTGGGTCTTAGAGGTTTTGTTCCTAAAATGGAGATTATAACAGTACTCAATATTCAGGTTGCTGTTTGATTATTATTTCGTAAAACTTATTATCTTCTATCTAACATATCTATAAGCTCCATAATGGCAATAATTGGTGTTCTTTTGTTCACCAATTTACTCCAAATATTTTAACACATAGTAGACACTCAATAATTGTCAAAATAAAGATTAAATGAAACAATGCATGTAAAGTACTTAGTGTAGGAATTGGCATAAGGCATTTGATAAATAGTCCTATGAATGGTTCTGATAAATGCTTTTATTAACAGTCACAGAGCCATCTCACTTAGAAAGTTAGAAGACGTAGAGATGTTTCAAAGAAAAGTTGGAGGGGACTGAAAACCATACTGTTGTTTTCAAATATTTGAAAGAGTATGTTACTTTTAAAGGAAAGAATATGTGCTAAGAGGTAGAAACTATAGGCAAATATTTTAAAAATTTAGAGTAAGGAGGAACTTTCTAACAAATCTGCTCAAAAATTAAATGAACTGGTACTCAAGTAAATTTTGAATTATTACATAACTAGTCAATGAAGGGATAAAAAAATCTAATTAAATGTTATACATTTATTATGCAATTAATTAAATATAGAGTATGAATGTGTATTTAGCATATACAAAATAAAATTTTAACTATACAAAAGATTTACCATTATAGTGTTTCTGGTAATAAAAATCACAGATAGAAAATGGCAAATAAAGCTAGGCTCGGTGCCTCAGCCTGTAATCCCACGCCTTTGGGAGGCTGAGGTGAGTGGATTGCCTGAGCCCGCGGGTTCGAGACCCGCCTGGGCAACTTGGCGAGACCTCATCTCTACAATAAATCAAAAATTAGCCGGGCGTGGTGGCATGCACCGGTAGTTCCAGCTACTTGGAAGGCTGAGGCGGAAGGATTGCTGGCGCCCAGCAGGCGAGGCTGCGGTGGCTGGGAGTGGCCACTGAACTCCATTCTGGCCACTGAACTCCAGTCTGGGAGTGGCCACTGAACTCCAGTGGCCACTGAACTCCAGTCTCGACAGAGTGAGACTCCAACTCAAAAAAAAAGAAAATGGCAAATATACTAAACACTAATCTGCATTTATTTTTACCAAATAAACTAAATGAATGAAAAATAAATGATGCTGATTTGTCTTTTTAATGCTAGCAATAGGAGCAAATACTAGCTGTAGAGTCTTTTACTTTCTATCAGAAAAATAGAACTGTTTAGAACCCCTTTTCTCTTTTCTGTTCCTTTTGCCCCAGTGGTAACACTGCACTTTTGGAATACAGTATAAGAATATTGGCAGTAGGCACGTTCGTGGGTTGTATGACACTAACTGGCACTTCACTCCTGCCAACTAGGGATGATTTTGACAAAATGTGTGACATCAATAAAAAAAGGAACCTAACTCACTATCATTTTTTGAAGGATGTGTGGCCTCATACCAAAATAGTCCCATCAATCTATTGCCATTATATTAGACAGAATACAATTAGGTACATAACATAACTCTTATAGTCTTCATCCCAGCTGGAGCTAAGCCTGATCACAGAAAATCTGTTAAGCACCCCAGAAAATAAAAAAAGTATGCTTTCTTTAATGAGCCATACAAAGTTAATAACAAGTGAGTTGACTTTCTATTTTGGACAGAAATATGGAGAAAGATGAAATGGTTTCCAAGGATTTTGCTATTCCTTAAATTGGTTGCCTGTTAAAAAAAAATATGTGATGCATGATCACTTTTTAAAGTTACAGAATGAAAAAGCTACCCAACCACTGATAAGTCCCAGTGTTACCATCTCAAGAGTGAACTTCATTCATACATTCAAAACTCTGGTATTGTCATACTGATTCAAAACTCTGGTATTGTCATACTGACTGAGATAGTTAATTTCATGTGTCTCTTTTCCTGGGCTGGGCCATAGGTACTCAGATGTTTTACCAAACATTATTTTGACTATGTATGTGAGGGTGTTTCTGAATAAGATTGCTGTCATATGGATGTACCTCAATCAATTCACTGAAGACCTAGATAGAAAAAAAGACTGAGTTAACTTATTTTGCCTGACTACATGAAATGGAACAATCCTAACCTAATCGGACTGAAACATTGGCTCTTCTTGATCATACACTTACTAGCTCTCATACTGAAACTTAACACTGTCCACGCTCATGATTTTAAGATGTTTGATCAGGGATCGAGACTACACAATGGGTCTCTAGCTTTCCAACTGTAGATCTTGAAACTTCTCAGACTCTTTAATCGCATGAACCCGTTCCTTGTAACAAATCCCATATATTTTTATATTATATGTGTACATACTTTTGGTTCTGTTTCTCTGGAGATCTTGACTAATACACTGATTCAGCAACATCAATAGGGAATAGACTGAGTTGTGCCCATCAAGTGAATTGTCCAGATAATTAAACTCACTCTGTGTAGAAGTTAATGTTTTAGTACCTTGACTAGTACCAACACAAGTGATCATGCACAGTAATAACACTTCTGCAACATAAAATAATAAGCCAATTTCCCATTGTTTAAAAAGTTAGCTCTGAAATCAGATCCTCACTTTCAAACCTAAAGTTCTGTGATTCTATATTATTAACCAAGTTTATATAAGTCATTATGAAAATCAATTTCAAAAGTAACTATGTATTTGATATATTTACTTCCTGAGATAATTACTCAGGCATTTAAGAAGCCATCTCATTTTGTTATATTGTTTTGAGGACTTCAGAACTCATCATCTTCATTTGTTGACTCCTGTTATTATCATTAATCAGTACATGGAATATCTATTTATTTTCCATAATTTTCTCCAGGCAATGATGTTTTATGATATTTAAGCACTACTTCTACTGCACAGATTAAGCTTCCAAAGCATCTGTCTTTTTACACCAAAAGCTACCCTTTGATGCTGCCAAGTTCCTGGTATTAACTCCAAGTGAATTTTTTTCATCATCACTCACCTGCCCAGAAGCAGAAATTCTCCTGCTAGACCCAGGCGTCTCATAGCCATCAGCAGACCTCGCACCGTCATGCCCTCACAGAAGCAGGCCACCACCCGGGCCTTGGGCAAGTGACTCATGAGCTTCTTCAGCAGCTTATCAAAGCTCTGCTCCCCCGCATTGCTGTAGATTTTGTAAGAGTGGGCGATGCAGATCCCTTCCTTTGCTGACATATCTTTGAAGGCTTCCATTCCACTTTCTCCATAGTTGCCTGTGTGAAAAGATAGATAAGCAGAGGGGTAGTGAAATGAGAGTATTGTATTAATTGGATATAATAAGAAGCAGGAGTGTTGGGAACATGAAGGCCATTGATGGCATTGGACTTCGAAGCTGAAGACCTGAATTTGAGTTTTTGCTCTTGCACTGAATTGCTCACTTTGGGGAAATTACAATTGAACTACATTATGCATTGATCTTTTATGTTTTCACTGAGATAAAATAATATAAAAAGTGCAAGCAAATCAGCTTCCCTTTTTGACCTAAAAAAATTATATTCTAAATGTTGGATGATGGGAGATGTTTTTCTGCTATTTTTTTTTCATTCTATTCTTCCTTTTACTTTTCATTGATGATTATTTCAACCCACTGATGAGGTTTTTATACTTGAACATAGGGTACATATATGTAGTACCTATACTTTTTGTAGCATAGATGTTTCCATATAGATATTTTATAGAGTATTATATTTCACATATATTAATTATATTTACTTTAATGATCATGATGATTTATGGTTTGGTCCTAATTGAAAAACTTTGATCTTTGATTAAGAGGCAGTCTTTTCACAGATATGGATGAATAATTTCAAAGTCCTTTGTAAATTTGGGGCTAGGGAATGACGGTAATCTTTTAAAATTAATTTAAAATAGGGAATAATATTGACAATCAAATATGTGCCAGAAAGTATATCAGGACCTCTACATATGTGATCTTACTTAACTCTCACAGTAGTATATTGATTGGTATTTTAACCATCATCCCATAGACAGGAATGTGGAAGTAGTCCGATCCACATTTGCCCAGAGTTACATGAGCAGTAAATGGGAGCTTCATTCACAGACCTACTATTGTAGGTTCTACTCCCTCCACTTGTCTATGGCTGAATCTTAGGAGTCTTTTTTTTTTTTTTTTTTTTTTGAGTTGGAGTCTCACTCTGTCGCCCAGACTGGAGTGCAGTGGCCGCTCCCGGCCACCGCAGCCTCTACCTGCTGGGCTCTGGCGATCCTTCCGCCTCAGCCTTCCAAGTAGCCAGAATTACAGGCATGTGCTACCACGCCCAGCTGATTTTTTGATTTATTGTAGAGATGAGGTCTCGCTGCCCAGGCGGGTATCGAACCCACGGGCTCAGGCAATCCACTCACCTCAGCCTCCCAAAGGCATGGGATTACAGGCTGAGCCACCGAGCCCGGGCTTAGGAGTCTTAGAATTCCAATTATATCTGTATTTCTCTTTCCCATTTAAAGGTCATGGTGCTTCAACTTTAGATATTTTTGGAGTACTTAAGGCACTATAAACCATACAAAGCTCATTTTCTGAGTTTTCAAAAGATTAGGTGGATGGGAGTATTGCTTTAAAGAATACAGGAGACTGTTGAAAAATAACTAGACTGTAGAACATATAAGGATGCTACTAGACTAAAATCAACTAGACTTGAAAATTGAAATTCCATCAGAAGGAATAGATATCAAATGAATAAAGAGCAGTAGGCATTCAATGATATAGGCTTCACTATAAGCCTATAATAAAAATCACTTATAAATAACTTCATGTGTATAACAGTTTGATTTTTGGAAAGTCAGTTCATAGGTATCAGCTCACTGCTCCTTACAACTCTGTGATACAGGTTAATATCTCCCCCTTATACAGCTGAAGTTCTACAAAGCTAGTAGTAGGTGGCAGAGTCTTAGTTTGAACATTCTTTTTTATTCTTGGCCCTTTGTGTGCCTCAATAGTCTTGGGAATTGTAAATTCTTATGATTATTACTATATAATATACTGAAATTATATATGAAAGATAATACTATATAAAATTTTTATATAGCAACCATAGGTGGCTTGCTGCAAATGAGATTCTCAAACTTTGTTTGTGGATTTTTGGAAGTTTTATCTCCATGGACAAACTGCAGAGGGCAAAGAAAGCAAACCAACCTGAGTCCCAGCCAAAAATGCTGGTAGGCTACTACATCTTTTTCCTTCTTATATAGAATTAATATCAACAAGAAGCCTCTGTGATGATGGCAGGTGGGCAATCTAGTTATTTTGCAATTAGCAAAGTTTAAAGGGCACTTTCTGAAAATTGTAACAAGGAGCTTAAATTACTATTAGGTTTACATGAATCTGAGTAATCTATTATTCTTTGGTTTATTTTAGTCAACTCTGTTTTTCAACAGACTGTCTTGGACTTAATGTTTTGATTTAATGCTGAGGCATTTGTATAAATAATTTAAAATTAAGCATAATAGTTGTGATGGGAATAATAAAAATTCTCAATACATTCACACTTAAACAACAAAAGGTGCCTGACAAATTCAGATTCTTCAGTGGCTTGTTCCTAACAATTTTGTTTGAACATTGTTTTTGTTTCTGCAGTATATTGTGTAAAAGCAGTTTGAAAGAATAAAGAAAACTTTATTACTAGAGAACTTGAGTTCAAATTCAGTTTGGATAGTCTCTTTAGTCTCAACTTTAATAGCTGAAAATCCGAAGTAGCACTGATTTAAATATATTTTAAATTAATTATTTATCTATTTTTACAGAGATGGGGTCTATGCTATACAGGCTGGTCTTGAACTCCTGAGCTCAAGCAATCATCCCACCTCAACCTCCCAAAATGCTGAGATTATAGGCATGAGCCACTACACCTGGCCAATATTTTAAAATTATATTTAACATATGTAAAATATCTGTTAGATTGCCTGAACCCAATTAATTATATTTACTAAAATTATAAAGAATATTCTAGACAGCTACTCTCTTCTGGAGCATCCAAAACAAATAGTGGAACAAATGAATTACCACTGAATATTAGACTAAATAATAAGCTTAAATCATAAGAAAGAAACATGATCTTTCTCAGAGGAAATCCCAAGCAGTACTCTTTAATATTAAAAATGGCAGGAAATACAGAAAAAATTTCTACTCAACTTAGCAGTGAACCTAAAACTGCTCTAAAGATAAAGTCTATTATTAAAAATTAAAATAGGAGACAGTTTTAACACATGTATGAATAAAAATTTTACAGAAGAATAATTTTGATATACAAAAATTCATTGTAAGATGAGAATTACAAATGAGAATATATATTTCAATGAAATGGAAAAGACTGAATTATGATTTTTAGTAATTGACAGAAATACTATATTCTGAAATTACGCATTTTAAAATATGAGAAAGCTACATACAAAATGTACACAGGCTTCTTGAAGAATAAGAATGAGAAGATTTCAAGTAATAAGTAGAATGAGGATAGATCTGAGGAAACAAGTATTTCTTCTTCAGTAAGAAATCAAGTCATTGAGAAAGCAAGCTATGATGTGAAATATAAAACTAACATGTGTCTTCAGTTTAAGTGACTGGGAGAAGTGAGAGGGAATTCATAGAACATTCTTCTTCAGGTAGCAGAAGGTAGATAGCTTGGAATTATGAGAAGAAAACATAACCATAGCCCAATGACTTAACTCTTAGCTCATACTCTTCACAGTTATGATGATGCAATGCCAATCACTAATTTTCAGCTTTAAGAAACCACCTATAGACAAAGTGAAGAACTCATTGTGCAATAGACTATATCTGTTATAAATCTTTACAATTACAATAAAGAGAAAGATGACAGAGGCTGAGAGGTGGAAGCAAGGAGAGCTGATGGGAAGGGGAAGGGCATGAAAATCCTCCTCACAATTTGGAATCAAGATATATAGAAAATAAAAGGTATGTGATTTGGGGAATTATCTGAAGCTAAAAAAGCAGGAAGGTAGGTAATCTAGTGATATAAATATATTAAGAATATTTTGGTAAGAGATAATGTCTATAGTCATTAAAAAGCAGGCATTTTTTAAAAAGTAGGTATATATTCATATTACTTAGAGATATGGAGGTGAAAATATAAAAAGTTTCAACACTCTTTTACTGTAAACTCTTCTGCACTATTTGATTTTAAAAAATACAAAAGTATAAATTTGATGAAAAAAATTGGTTGAAAAGGGAGAGTAGACTTAAATAATTTTAAATGCATCTTTACTTCTCTCTAGTCCTACATTAGGAATTTGTCTTTACTGCTCTCTGTGTATATTTTTAGGAATCAAAAATCATTATTATTAGTGACAAATTATAATTATATATGTTTATAGAATACTAAGTGATATCATATGTATATAAAAATGTGGACTGATTCAATCAAGCTAATTAATATGTTCATTACATCAAATACCATTTTTTGTGGTGAGAATATTTGAAACTTATCCTCGATAATTTTGAAATATACATTATTATTAACTATCGTCATCACGCTGTGCAATAAATCTAAAACCATTTATTCCTCCGCCTGACTGAAACTTTGTACATTTGACCATTTCCTCATTTCCCTTCTGGTAACAGCCATTCTACTTTTTGCTTCTGAATGCAATTGTTTTAGGGAACCTTTGTACACTGTTGGTGGGAATGTAAATTAGTACAACCATTATGAAAAGCTGATGGATATTCCTCAAAAACCTAAAAATAGCATTACAAAATGATCCAGCAATCCTACTTCTGGGTATATTTCCACAGGATTTTATCTGCTGTCTTATATTTATGGCAGAATTATTTATAATAGCCAAATTATAGATTCAACCTAAGTATCCATCAATGGATAAATGGACAAAGAAAATGTGGTTTATACATACAATGGAATACTACTCAGTCTTAAAAAAGAAGGAATGCTACCTTTTGCAACAACAGGATAGGAATATTATTTACATTTGTATTACTAATGCCTCAGTAGGAACTGTTAGATAATGAACACATATTGAACAAAAGAATAAATGAATGAATGAACAAATACATTAATCAAATTAATTAATCAATGCCTGCTGAGTAGTTTTCAGATGAAAATAATTGTCCAATTGACTATGTGACCTGCAATCAGAATTGTAACATTGTGCCTAGGAAATGTCACTCTCATGAGCCGAAAGAGGGTTAGAACTGGAAGAGAGTTGCATAATAACGTATCAGAAT